CAAGAAAATAAAAACAAACACACAGCAAGAAAGCAAAAGCCTTGTGCTTCTCCGTTGAAAGCAATTTTCAGGTGGTGTCCGCGCACAAAGGGGCGCTAATCGTATCCGGGTCCAGCTGGCCAGCTGATGAGATGAGCAACAACAAACACAAAGCGCTTCCGCATATGCCCCTTCTGCCCAGCTTTACAGGCCCAAGACCAGCATCCCAGCCATGAGTCACAGCAAATGAATGGGCAAGAACCAGTCTGTTCATGCAGTTGACATGGGTGCTATTCGCTCTTGGCTTGGGTCACTTTTGGGTCGCTTGGGTCCAGCTGCAGCCTCAGCCAGCCGGCCTCAGCCAGCCAGCCCGCCAACCCCCCCCCCCGGTCTGGACGGCGAATGCAGACATTGTGTGTGAGGGTGAGTTCTTGCTGTTCTGCATGTCTCTGAGACGGAACGCAGTCCTGGACAGGATAGCCCCGTCTTGCGCTGTTCTCCGTGCGTTCTGCGACATGCATCTGAGTTGGTACAATGTGGGCGTCAGCGGCGATACCATCAAGCTGGCACAAAGTTGCGGGTACGATGACTCCCATGGCGCCCTCTTCGGATTTGGGAACCCGACTTCGTCCTGTGTTCCAGCTGGTTTCCCGTAGTTTGTCGCCAAGTTGAACTATGTTCCCTCCTCTTGGAGGTCACACATTCTTCCCCCATTGTCCTGGAGGTACTGTTAACTTGAACCTGCCCGGGAATCCAGGGAAACATTTTCAAATGTACCAAGATTCTGTCCCATTGCGCGCATGGTTAAGTTTCATCCCGCCAAATCCTACGCACATGGGACGCGAGGGGTGAATGGCAAGGTGATGCTGCATATATGGCTTTGTTCCTGGAGACCTGGACCCAAGAAGCCACAGGATGATCGTCGTGCCCTTTGCCCCTGCTAGTGCCAGTGTCGCGAAGACACGAGATGGAGGAGGCGAACCGAGATTCAACGCTGTGCAATTCATCTGTCAACAAAACTGGAACCCGCCGCAGCTACTCCAGAGTCCACCGTGACACCAGACGATCTGCTATCCTGGATTCTCTGCTATGTGATAGGGTGGTGCGATTGTGTGGGCGCACACGGTCCCCCTCAAGTGTCTCCTCACAGTGCTCTTGATCATCGGCCCGTATGACGCTCCCAGGACATTGAAGATATGGGGGACCTGGGCGACTCGGGTATTTCTTGGCCCGGGAACTGGGCCGTTGGACATGGAGCTTTGCCATGCCGACCCGCTCGGATATATAAGATCCCCCGATGGCTGCGAGAACATTGAACGATCGTTTTGGGGGATAATGGAACACGCCCATTGCCACGCATCGCTGTTGCCCCAAAAGGAATAAGTAGGTAGTGTCAATGTTGGACAAGGGGGCAAAATGCGAATGGAAGTGGACCAGTGGGAACGAGAGGCAGTCGAGTCGAATGAGCAGTGAGGTTTCAGCAACGAGGACCGCTGATGATCCGAATAATCGATCGTCCAGCCTGGATGAAAATAGATCGTGCGCATCATGCCCATTGCTCTAGGCCACATGACCGTGGCCGTCTTCAAGCGTCGCCCCCACGACACAGCACAGCCGGTTTCTTTGGCCACTCCATTCGTACTAGAAGCAAAAGAAGCTCCTGTCTGGTTGCCCTTAGCTCGGACTTCAGAGTCAAAACAGTCGAACTTGCTGGGCATCCGTGACCAATGAAGGAGATGGGTTCGCGATTGTAGAAGGCCAAGCCAGCTGGTGTCGAGGACCGCCCTTTCTATTGTGCTCGCCGAGCACATGAGATAATTCCCCGCAGATTCACTTGCTCGCTCCAGCTTTTGTGGGAGCTGGAGGGAGGTAGGAATTTCGAACTTGGAAACATACACCGCTGTCCCGACTTACAAGAGCAGATCCGGACCAGATCGCAAAGTCATGAGTGGCAGTGACAAAGAAATGTGCCCGGTTTCATCAAAATTCTATCATGAAATTCTGCGCCCACGGCTCAGTCTTCGTTTGACCAGCAACTCGAGCGCAACTTTTTAATGCGCAACAGTGATGGATTGGCGTACCAGGCAGGACGCTGCGAGAAGGTGCATTCGACTTTGTTGGTTCATATTTTCTGCTGGACTGCAGACCCAGCTCGCCTCAATGAAGTATATTCTCTCCATCTCCAGTAAGATTTCTGTCTTTTTTTCTCTCCCGTCTATTGAATGTTGATGTGCGCTCGTGAAGCTGATTCTACCATCTGGCAGGGACAGGGACGAACACTACCGCGAACCGACCGCCAAATGCAGAACAGTGCCGTGCCACAATCCAGGCACTCCAATCCCGAGTCTCGATCATTGTAAATCCGACTGCGCATTCACCAAGACAGCCTCTTCGATTCGAAAGCCGAGCCCATCAATCATGTCTTGACGCCTATCGCATGGGTACGACTATGCACCGAATGCACCCCTCGCAGCTCGAATGCCATCGATCCATCTATATCAGTCAATAGTGCCTTTCAATTACCAAGTGTCGGTCTCGAAAAGGAAAACCCTTCACATGTCTGGTCTCATTTGCACGTTCGACGGCATAGGGCGCGGTGCGTCTGGTAGCCAAATATTGTCGACGGCATCCGGGTTTAACGAGCAGCTTTGGCTGTCTGACCATGCGTGGCTGAGCCACCCGCACTCACCCACTTCGTCATCGCAGCTTGATGAAAACTTTGAAAGCCGGCAATATGCGGATCTTGGCACCGGATGTAACATCACATCAACGTTAGGGCTCCACAGTCTCACAGCAATGATCCGACGAGATCCGAATTGGTTGCTTATCTGTAGTGATGCAAAAGCAAACCCGCCTGCACCACGTGTAGCCCTTTGAATCTTGATGTAGGACGTTGCCTTTGGCCCCATGGTTAGCCAGGGGAAGAAGCAATAGATGTGCAACCTTCAAAGTGCGCGATCTGCGTGGCTGGCGTCGAATGCCAAGGACTTCAGGGGCCGGTATCTGATTGATTCAATGTGACATCTCGGTCAACTCCGCGACAGCCAGCCACTTGCAGGGTCCGTTGGCTTTTCTGCCGGTTTGGAACACTTGTCCTTGGAAAACGTTTTGTCGGACTCGACAAGGTTAGCGCGGCGGAATGCATCGTCATGGACCAGGTTTCCTGATGCTTCTGTATTGACCTGAAGACGTGGGGTGTCAATGGCGTTTTTACAAACTCGGGCTGAGACGGTTTCGTGGCATAATGTTGGCCAACAAAGGGCGGGACTGACAGGGTAAAGTACAGCGGCGAGAGATGAAGGGCCAGCTGCCCTGCAGCAAGAAATGAAGCTTCACTAGCTGGACCTTAAGCAAGCCACCAAACGTTTTCGTCGTCCTGCGCGGTAGGCTGCTTAAGCCCATGCTCGGAGTCGAGACCGTGATTTCTCAAGCTTCAACACAGGGAAAAGGTGGTGGTGACACGAACAGAATGGAATGCCCCTGCGAACCGTACACGGGCGTGGCGCTCCTCCGCCTCGAGTCGACGATGAGGGCGACTGAAAGGCGGGATCCGGGTCTCCGTATTTTTCTCTTCCTTTTTAAGCAGAGGCGGCGAAAAGAGAGACGCTGACGAGGTGTCCAGCTCAACGGTAGGTATGCATCACAAGAACGAGAGCCGCCAGCACGTGCTTGCTCTGACATGGAGTCTGCTCCTTCCCCGTTCCATGGGACCGCTTGGCACTTGCAACGTCATTCGCTCGTTCGCTCGTTCGCACTTGCCATTGTTCGGTGCTCAGAGATGGCCGTGCACAGGCCAAGCGAGAGCAGATGAGATGGCACTGACGGGAAACTAATGTTCCGCCCACAGTGACCTGCCTGCTGATAAGAACCATATTCCGCGATCTCGACAGTCTGGATCCCGCATCGCTGCTTTCAAGCTGCTCAGACTGGTGTACCTTGACCTTTGGACAATGTTGCCATTTATTCACTCGGCCAGATGCGAAGGACACGATGTCCAGTCTACGCCGATTTCACATGACACATTGCAAAAGCTTTTACGCAGTCACGGACGCAAGACCTTGCACTCAAACTTTCCGCGGCGCATGTGAAGCATTCCGAGTCCCCCTCCCGCTTTCCCAGCCTTCAACGAGTCTTGATAGCCTTGACAGCACTTGATAAGTCCGGAAGCTATTCTCGGTGTTGCAGGCACGTTTTCACCGATGCCGGCTGCATGCTATCCGAATGCCCAAACTCGCCACTCCACCGGACTCGGCAGGGATTCCATTCTTTCATACAACGGGGTCGTTTCTTGGGCACGTCCAGGCACCATGGAAGCCGGATTGTATTTCCCAGACGACACCATGGTCTGGCCCTCAACAATGAATGAGGTGGTCTGATGGAGAAGAGCGGATGAGAACGTGATTTCCCTTTGGCATATTTTTGCGCTGCTGCCTGATAATTGTAGACACGAATAGATGAGAGAGTAGACACTAACAAGTTACGTTTGTGAATGTAGTTGATGGGGCATCTTGACCAGGGCTGAAAATGGACCATGGTTCTTCGTGATGGTCGTCCAAAAAAACATGTCATCGCATCACGTTGATTTCTGCGTTGAGCCCTGTGCAGGTCAACTGGCCTGCAAAGCCGTCGGCCGTTCAGGAACGACACGGCAGCAAAGCTACAGCGGCTCGTCAACGAAGGCTCATGGGGTTCGTGCTGGCGATCGTGGCCTACAAGGGCATTGACGATTCGGTATCCAAGTATTTTGCAAGGCAAAAAGAGTAAAGTCAGGGAGTTGGACGACCGACCAGCGATGTTTCCGAAACGTGGATAATGATTTGGCCGGAAAAAAAGAAGGGGGGGGGGGACGACATTTGGACTTGCACTCGCTGTTCTGAATTTCAAATGTCCCATGCATGAGGCGCACTCTGCATACAAAAATCACATGCGAGAAAATGAGCCGGGTAAAAAAGACATGGTGATGTCTGCTCCAGTGCGTTTATCTGCGGGGCCAAAAAAAGCAAAAAACAAATTGCTTTACATGGACAAACGGGGAATCGAACCCCGGACCACTCCCAAGCGCAGAACCAGAAACTCGGATGATGCTAAGGGAGTATTATACCACTAAACCATTCGCCCATTGGTGATGTCAGACTGGCCGTTACTGGGCTACATACAGCGACTGCAAGTTCAGTCCCAGGAACAGACATTTTGAAGTGAAGTTGGGCGTTGTGGGATGGTCCGCGGCCGTCGTCATCGGCTGCCTCAGATTCCCCGCGCTTGCGGCCCTTGGCGGGCGCCAAATAGATGACTGGGCATCCCAATGGTTGTTTTTCCTGTTTCTGATTGGACACTATTCTTGGCGATTCGTTTTGCCTGTTTTTTCTTTTCTTTTTTTCTTTTCTTTTCCCTCCTTTTTTTTTTTCTTTTTTCTTTTTTCGATTCTTTTGCGTCGTCATCAATTGCGGCCGCCGCCCCGCGATTTGCCTCAGCATTCGAGACCCCGCGGCTGCAGCTCCAGATCCAGATCCAGGTCCAACGCCAGCGCCAGCGGGTGCATGTGCGAGTGCCGCGGCCAGAAACTCGAGCTACGTTTTCCGCCCCGTCACTGCCGTCGCTGGTGCTTCGACAATCTTTGCCTTCGTGACTGGCATCGGCACGCATACCTCGTTCTTGTCGTGAAAGAAAGTCCTGCACATCCCCGCCCTGTTGAACTCTGTCGTCGCCCTCATCTGCCACCATGGCTTCCGGGAGCAATGTAGGCGCGATTCCCAAGCGCTTTGCTTCATCTCCCTTTCTGTTTGCTGAGCTGCTGCTAAAGATTCGAACTTCTCTTTTATCTTCTGCAGGACCCGAAGCTCCTCTACGCCATCGATGGCATCAAGGCCTACCACATAGCGCAGGGCACCGAACAAGCACTCAACCCTTTCGGTCCGCAGACCCTCTCGTTGCTCATGGTCCCGACCTCGTCTGGCTTTGCCGCCGCCTCGGGCTTCGGATCGGGCGAAGAGGATTTCTATCTGCATCTTCACTTGCCGCCCGAGCTTGACCTGCCTCTCCCGGCCACGACGCAGATCTACCACCAGCCCCCGACGAGCTACCTGATTCCGCGGTGGGATCTCGGCCCCAACAGCGGCGCCTTCACACGCATCGAGTTCCCGGCCGTGGGTTCCCGCGCCGGCCTCCAGGAAGACGTCGACACCTTTGAGACCATTCTCGCCCAGTGCACTGCGTTTCTGGAGCGCGCCCCGCCGCCCGCGCCCAAGAAGAGCAAGACGGCTCCCGGTGCGGCGTTTTCGGCCAAGCCAAGATTGGATGGAGCAAAGGGAGAGGCGCCGCCCGCTTATGACCCTGCTGGGTTTAACAAAGGGGAGGGCTATGTTCAGGGCAGCGTGAGCTCAACCTCCAAGGAAGCCGCGGGAGGCCGTATCGTTTTGGTGGACGAGGAAGACGGTAGTGTGGTTGGTGAGCTGGGCGACGGATACCAAGTTGTAGAAGACACGGCCATCAAGCCTGGGTCCAAAGGTGTGTTGTGCCGAGTTTATTTGTTTTTTTTTTTTAAAAAAAAAAAAGAAAGAAA